TGTAGAGATTTTTCCAACCAAAACAAAACCTACAGAAGATCGAATTTATTTCACAGAATTTTATTTTTTTAATAATTAATTTTAATAAGAAAAATCTAATGTTTTTGAAAATGTTTAGGAATCAAAATTATCAGCCTCTGGTGAGAAAATTACAAACTACTAATCTAGACATATAGGTAGTTGTCCATGATAGCAACAAATTCTTATGAAATGACATCTACTACGCATCTTTCAAAGAAACCAAAATTAACGAAGTCGTGACTTAAATCGGCACGAAGTTTTATCATAGTTCTCTTTATACTCAACGGAGCCAAGTTCCCCACCGAATTTATGTTATTCACACAAAGCGCCATCTATATTTCATACTTGTGTTTCATTAAAAAGGACAAACAACCAATTTATGGAACGCATGTCCTTTTCTGATAACATCTGTCAAATTACAAAAACAAAAACGTAGTGGAACTAGACATTTGAAGTTTTAGAGCTTCGTAAACGTCAAAAAACGAACACAAACGAAAAGACGCAATTAGAAAAAATATTGCCTAATCGTTGTCGTCGTCGACGTCGTTTGTAGAAGAAATAAAAAGGACACAGAGCCACAAGACATCAGAGCACAACCCTATAAAAAAAGAAAAAAATAATAAAACAGTGAAAAAGTAATACAACAAAGAAAATAATTAATTACAAAATAGAAAACGAATTATCCTTTTTAACGAAATCAACTATTTTTTTTTTTAAAACGTAACAAAGAACGAACAAAGAAAATCCGGTCAATTTTTCTATACGGACAACGAACGAAACGCAGTTAGTGGTCGGTTAATTTGCACACGCATACACGCACTCCAAACCAAGTATGTCATTTGCCGTTTTTCCTTCGCAGCAGGATTAAGCATGAGGCTATTTGCTGTGGCCCGTGGACAAGTCCTGTTCCATGTTTCATTACTATAAAAGGATTACATAAAAAACATCAATAATTTTGCAACAATTGCAACGACACACGACTGCGACACTGCTGCTGCTACCAAGAAGAAGCAACGTTCCAATCCTAAACGAGTTGAAGCAGTCACCCGCCCCACGACATCCATCCCCACACACCAGCCAACCAACCAGCCACCCACGGTGAAGCTACAACAATTTGTTGAAGTCATTTTTCTTTTTTGGAAGGCAAATCCAAATACCCAAATCGAAGCCAAGTTTATAATTTCAGGTAATTAAAAATATGTAAAAAAAAAAAACAAAAAAAATTGTGAATCACAAAGGACATTGGAGAATGATGATGATGATTACTCATTATTGGCTGTGGCCAAAAAAAACGAAAATCGGAAAACACAGGATGTGGGTGTGTTCGAATAGAAAAAATCCTTTTTTTGGTTGTAATAAAACAGATGTTCTGTTAATAGTTTGGGATTTGTATTATGACTCTCCTGGGCTTGGAAAAGTTTAAGTGCCATCAGGATAACAATTTCCAGCAATTATGTAACACTTGACATTTGTTGTTGTTGCTTTTCTTGTTTTTGTTTTTTATTACAACTCCAATTCTGTTGGTTTTTCGTTTTTGAGGTGTAAAATTTGTTGTTTTTATTGTGTGTTTTTGTGGGGCCAACAACAACAACATCCTACACATACCCAAGCATATAAAGGATATGTCATACACACAAAGGTATATATGTATGTTTAAATGTGTGCGAGAGAGTGGGTAAAAAATAGCAAACATTCCAACCTCTTGTGAACTTGGACCAGAAATTTAATGAAATTCCATAGACAAGATATTATACATATATGTACATATGTATAATATATATGTATGCATGTAATAATTTTACCCATAGACATGTGATGAAAAGGATGTGTATCATCCTCCTTTTATATCCTCTTTTTTATTATGTTGTCTGTATGTAAACAAAAAAAAACATTTTTGGCATTTTTTAAATGTCTGCAATTTTGTTGGCTGCCTCATAATGAGCGGTGGCATTGCGGGATGGCAGGAAGTGTTTCAGACATTGTCACAAAAAAGTGTAATGACTTTTAGATTTGTAGGTTAGGTCTGAAAAGGTTGTGTCCTGAATTTTATTTGGCAATTTGTTGCTGGAAAAATCCGATATTTGGTTGCTTAGCCGGTTTTTTTTTTCTGGGGTCTTTTCGGACCAGATGATTGGGATAAAGAAAGTCATGTACTACCGACCTAACGAATCAATTCCCAAAGTATTGGTAAAAAATTAACCATATGGCCTGAAATACACTTGAAAAATATTGAATTCTGCCATTATAAAAATATACCTTAAAAAATATTAATACACCTGAAGTATATATTTAAAAAATCTACACTAAAAGCTCTTAAAATCCTTGACTAAATATTATTAAAAATATCCAGGATTATACCTCCTAAACCCTTTCAAAAACTATTCTTAGAAATCCGTGCTTATAGCTTATAATGTCCTTCGAAAAAGATTTATAACAAACCCTACCATATAGCTCCTATAATCATCAAAAAAATAGCTTCGATGTATTTAAAAATATCCTCACTTATAGCATCGATAATCCTTAAAAAGGTACTCTTAAAAATCCAAGCTCATAACTCCTGTATTCTTCTGAAAAATATAAATGGTCTTCTTAAAAAATCCAGGCTTATAGCGTTCAATGTCCTCTGAAAAATATAAAAAAAATCCATATCTTTTGCTCTAAATTTACTTGACAAAATATTGAAACAAATCCTGGCTAATATCCTTCATAAAATATACCAAAATAATATCTCTCTGATCACCCATTAAAATATATTTAAAAATCCTCGATTAAAACTCGGAATATCCTTGATAAAATATGTCAAAATAATTTGCCCCTAATAGTTCTGATTACCCTTTAAAAATTTGTTTAAAAATCCTCTTTTAAAATTCTGAATATCCTTGAAAATATATTTAAAAAAATCCACCCTGAATTTCTTTAAATTTCTGACAAAAATACCTTTAAACGGCTATGCTGATTGGAGTACCTGTGTAAATAATCAGCACTAATAGCTCTGATTACCCTTTAAAAATGTATTTCAATAACCTCGCTTAACACTCTGAATAAAAATATATTTAAAAAAATGCCCACCTATATCTCCGATACTACTTGAGAAAAATTCAAGCTGAATATCCTTAAAAAATATTTTTAAAAACTCTCTGCCTTTCGCTCAGAATATCCCTGACAAAATATTTTTAAAATCTCTCCTCTGTAGCTCTGAATATCCTTGACAAAAATACCTTTAAAAAAGGCTTTACTAATTGGAGTACCGATGTATGTTTGTACGTATTTCTATTTAAAGCTGAAATACTCTACTCTTTTTTATGAGGATTTTTAGAAGTTCCCCCAAAAACATATAAAAATAGCCCATGTCATTAGTAACCAGCTGTTAGCAGAATTAATTAGACATTTGGTAAGGATTTCCAATTTTAACACCCCTCAAAAAAAACAAAAAGAAGTCAACATTTACACAGGACTACAAAAATAGAAATTAAGATCTAAAAATTAATTGGGATATAACAAAGAATTAACCAATGCTGAATTCCAGAAGCTGGGTAAACGAATTTTATTTAATCTAAGGCAGAATTAACATAATCTCAATTTAAAAAAATACATTTGCTTCTTTAACACAAGAATTGTATTGACTTTTTAAAGTTAAATTTTGGAAATTATTCTTTTTTGCATTTAAAAAATCATTAGATATTTATATTGAAAATTGAACCTCACTTTTTAGGAAAAAGTTTCCTTCGAACATAACCTCAATTCTGACATAACATCAGTTTAAAAGAAATAATATTGTTTCTTTAATACAAGACTATTACAGCCTTCTTAAAGTAAGATGTTGGAAACTATTCTTTTTTGCATTTAAAAATTAAACTTTCCACGTATATTTCCCAAACTTCTAAATCCACAACCTCACTTTTTGTAAGTGAGCTACAGTTTTCCAAAATAAATATTTCTCCATTTCAAAAGGGAATATTCGAAGTTTTATTAATTTCCCAAAAACTTTTTATAACTCCCATAAAAACTACTAAAAAAAACAAACATAATTCATACTTAACCTCACTTTTTTGGGGGGTGTTTTGCAACTAAAGAACAGCTGTTGGAATAAAAATTAATTAAGGCAACATTTTTGGGCCTATAATGGCCACTAAAAAGTAAACTTATTTACTAAAAAAGGACATATTTCTTATTTTCGGACATAACCTCACTTTCTGAAGGGAGGGGAGATATATTGCATATTTCTTTCCAAACATTGGGGTTGCAAAACATTCAACAGGGTCAAATGATTATTCCCATTTGATGATTATTGTTGTACAAGTCATCTACAAGGGTTGAATGGGCTGAGTATTGTTTTTTTTTGTCTGTAGCACAGTGTAAATGGGGACAAAAATGTAAAAAAAAAAACATCCAATCGATATAAAATTCTTGCCAACGCACAAAAAAGCACTATTCTTCACACACTCACAGCCGAATGGACGGACAGATATACATACAAACACACATATCCTCATAACAAAAAGAAAAACAAAACTATAATAAACTTGAAAGGACTCTGGTCTGTCTTCGTCATCGTGTACTTGCATGACCCCAACAATGCCTAAACAAACAAAGGCTAGTGTCACTTCGCACAGCAAGAGGAGTTGGGCGGGGTAATGGTGATGGTGGTGTGAAGTTACCAAATAATCATTCCTAGCCGAACACCAAAACAACAGCAACAACACAGTAACTTAGTGACAGCTGCTAAACTTAACCAACCGATCAACCACCCTGCCAGTAAATTGCATTCCATAATGGCAACGGAAATACCCAACAACGGAAGTGTCCCAAGGACCCCCCGGTTTTTGTTTTCTTTCTTTTTTGTAACAGATAACATTTCAAATCCAACTCATTTACATTATCATTCAAGCAAAGTCCTTTTTTACCCCCAACACACTCATACACACCATTAAACATTATTAAAATAATGAAAAACCTCCACACTCCTTCCTTGCAGCATAATGTCTCAGGATAATGTAAAAAAATCAGGCGGTGGTTTGCTGCTGCTAAGTCTGCTAATTGTAAGCCTACAGTTAATATTATATCCACATGTTGCCGAAGCCTTAAATTCAGGTACAGCTGCCACACCCGTGGAGCTTAACTTAGCAACGAGTCCAACTTCGAATAACACTCTGGCCAATACAGTGACAACTGATGCAGCACCAGCCGCCTCTGCCTCCGCCACATCAGTTTCCATGCAAACAGCCCAACTGGATTCTTCGGAGACGAGCAGTGAACAACCCTCCACCACGACATCGCCAACAACCTCAGCCCCCGTTCATGAGATAATTGGTTCGGCCGGACCCGATAAAAGTGAACAGGAGGCCATCCTCAAAGCCCTGGCATGGCTGAAGAAAAAACGTGCTGCCGATTATGGTTGGGGCAATGATACTCATGTTGTTATCTTGGCCAAGGAATTGTCGGGAGCCCAAGATCCCTCAGATCCCGACGATCATTTGCAAAAAATCCAAGAACTTGAAGATACCCTATCGGTCAAGGAAATGGAAATTGAAATTCTCTCCATGTTGGATAGACATCACACATTACCCAAACCGTTGAATTTGGAACGATTGGCCCGATACGTTTTGGCTTTGGGTTCATTGTGTAAGGATCCCAAACATTTCCATGGCCATGATTTGGTAGCAACGCTACAGCATCATGAACCGACACAGGATATTGAATTTGCCCTTACCACATTGGCGGCATGTAGTTCAGCGGCACATGTACGAAAGAGGCAGATACGTCGGCTGTTGGATATAGCCAGTGGGGTGGCTGATCAGAATGTGGATACAAATGCAATGGTGAGTTCCATAACCTTACCTTTTTCCTCAATTGAATTTAACCAACATTTTATTCTAACTCTTCATAGGTAATTTTGGCTCTACGCTGCATTGTCACCGATCATAGACATCGCCACTTACAACACTTTGTCAGACGCCCGGCTCGCGGTCTGGCCAGTCTCCAAGATCCTCGTGGCAGTTTTGGTTCACTGCGTAGCACCGCCTTGGCCATGCAAGCCTTGCAAGATTTGGAAAACGATCCAGCCGGTAGTTGGAATCGTACTGCTGCCTCACGTTGGATTCTTAGCAGACAGGGGCCCGAGGGCGGCTGGACCGAAGAACCTTTACAAGATGGCCAAGATCCCGATATTGGTGTTGGCCTTACCGCTGATATTATCTTAGCTTTGGGTTGGAAAGGTTTGGGTGCAGTACGTGCCCTTCAATGTGATCATGTTATACGAGAAAACAGTGATACAGCCTCGGGTAAGTTGCATTTCCATTCTCAATTCTTTTCTTGTTATCCTATACATATTTGGCCCCCCTGAATTTTCATGAATCACTACTAGAAAATGGCGAACAAAAATTAGCATTACCCTATGGATTAACTGGTTCATCGGCGGAAGAATCGGATTCGAAAAATGTCTCATACACATATACCCTGTGGGTGGGAACAAATGTCTCGGAGATTTTAACACTGAATATGGTGTCACCCAAGAATACCAGTTTCTTTAAGGCCATGACTCAGGCAGCAGAAATTGATCCAAGGTGAGTTGGGAAATTTTGAAGGTAAATTACAAAAACAATTAACGAATTCATTTGATTACAGATTTGCTTTTGAGGCAAGAGAATGGCCCAATGGTCACTATGTACACACATTGGCTGGCATGAAGGAGGAACCAAGGGGGTAAGTATTCGGTGATGAAAAGAAAACCATTTTGGACGGAAGAGATCTACAGCGATTTTCTGTGTTCACTACCGTTCAGGGTAGCCTGGAGCCCAATCGACGTCTATATCTCAAGGGCGACCGTTGAAGGGACTTCAAACTCACTATTTTTCAGTCTTACATAAAATTATATTCAGGGCATCTACAAAACTCATTTTAAGTCTAATAATGGTCTAATAAAACTCCCTTTTAGATGTCTATTAAGACTGTCTGCCACTTGCGTACAAACCTCATCTTCCGGCTACACCTATGCATTTCTCTGAAACTGTATTATATCAACATCAGATGAAATCCCTTTCTTTCGAAGATAAAATTATTGTTAGGCCGTCTACAAAAGTACGCTTTACATCGGCCCTACGACCGTCAAAAGGATTACCTCTAAGATGTCTTTTAAAACTTCCTTCTATTCGTAAAGCAAAATTGTTGGCTTATAATGGCCACTAAAAAATTGAACTTATGTACTAAAGAAAAAGGACATATTTGTTATTTTCGGACATAACCTCTCTTTCTGAAGGGGGTGGAGATATATTATATTCCAAACACTGGGTTTGCAAAACATTCAACATCAATTGTTCTCATTTGATGATTATTGTTGTACAAGTCATCTAAAGGGCTTCCTTATAGTCATCCGTAAACGTTCCTGAAATTTTCTCTTTAGACAAATATTAAGTCTTTCTCCCAGTCCATACAAAACCGATCAAACATCCTTCCCTAGTAATAAAAGAACATAAATTATAATTAAATAGCAGTTTTTGTTTACAAATAATTTTTTTTCTTTTCATTTTTCCCATTTCAGCTACAACTATTGGTTGCTCTATCGTTTGCCTGAAATTCCCGATAAGGATAATACACCTGGAAATCAATTAATTGCACCAGTTGGTAAGTGTAGTTCTCCTTCAAATCCTTTAAAAATTCTAAACAAACACCTTTAAATATTTTCCTAAATATTTTTCCGCAGGTGTCGATGAATTAATGGTGGAAGATGGTGAACATTATCTGTATTGGTATAAGAAGCTATAAATCAAGCCTTTCCACCCCCAAAAGGAAACTCCGTCTATAACCTATTTCAAAAAAAAAAATGAAACACTCTCACACACTCAGATACACTCAAAAAGCAAAAAATTTCAAACATTATCTAAACTTACTACTATAATTATGACTATTCCTATGTAAAATCGATATATTTTTTCAAATTTTTTTCTTTTTAATTTTTTTAATTTAAAAATCACAACTTAACGGTATTTCTAGTTATCAAAATCTTAGCAGCCGTTATTAATATCGTCGTCGTCTAAAATCAAAAAACCAACAACAACAACAATATCTCTCTAACTTTAACAAAAATTAAAAAAAACACACGATCTATAAATACGACCTAAGGTGATATTTGCAAAAAAAAAAAACAAAAACCAACAATTTAACCATTATTCAACATTGTTTTCAGTGGACGCTTGCATTCCTTAAGATATTGGAACAAAAAATGAAAACAACAACAGCTCCCAGTTACCAATTTTAAACATTGTAGTTAAACCAAAAAACCAAATAAATGTGATGACCAGCCACTAAACCAAAAAAAAAATAATAATTGAAAACCGCTTAAACATAAAATCCAAAAACAAAGACATATAAATATTATAAACAAAACCCAAAGAAAAAATAATAAAATAAAAAAACTATTACAAAAAAAACTGAAACTAAAACATTAACTATTAGACTGGTAGCAGAGGGGGTTGTAATCCCCTCTGCCTCTCAGCTAATTACGTTTCCAACGCAAGCATCGAAATAATGACAAGGGAAAAAAACTCGGCAAAAAGGCTCTCTCACCAAAGATCGTTTTCACTTTTCACAACTACTCCACTCACATAGAAGAAGGACAGCAAGCAAAAAAAACTTGAAAAGACGGACCAAACAATACCAGGACGACATAAGCAGGCAATTTGCAAAACATTTTAGACGAACACCAGAGATTATTTAGACCGTCAGACACCGTTCGTAACAATAAGTGATTATAAATCATACTAAAACAAAAAGAAACAAAATTAATTAAAAGAAAAAACACAACAACAACAAATAAGCATAAATATTTACATTCATAATATTCATAAAACAAATACCATACCATCATCATACGATATCCATAGTACATACATACAATGTAGATATTTTTTGCGACTAAATCAAATATTATTTTGATATACGAATAAAAAAATAATAAATATATTATTATTAATAATAAATAATAAAACATATACAAAAAAGCAGCAACAAGCAAACAAAGCGATTATAATGTATGCTCTACTAACAAAAAATAAACATTACAAATTACAACAATACGAAAGAAAACAAAACCAACAAAACTTATATAAATATTGGTTCCATACAAATCGAAAAAAATAATAACAACAAATCTATCATATGCTCTATTAATCTCCAGTAATTTATCTGTACTTTAAAATATATATACATTTCTATACTTCAAACCATTTAGATGACACCATCCACAACCAGTTTCCAAGTCCCTTCTATTAATTAAAAAAAGAAAAAACTAAATGAAAAATTCCCTTCCATTATATTTTTCTTCTACCATTCAATCCCAATTTTTATCCTATCTACCATTTCACTATTTCTCCTCTTAATTTATTTCCTTTAGTTTCCATAACCAAAAAAAATTCCACTCGAATCTATGTATGTATTTATTATTATGCTTAACTATTGCAGTATTTGTTTATTGATAAAACTGCTTCAAACCAAGCAAAAAAAGAAAATAAAAATAAATAATATGCGTTTGCCTGAACTCTTTTTTGGTGGGATTGTGTGGATAGAATCAGAGGAATAATAAGGGAATTAAGTCAAATATCAAATCGTTGTGAAACATTTATCTAGGTTACAGGGAAGAGCCTTTGTTTTCTTCAGAGGGATACGGATAGTATAAAATCAGAAGAATGATAAGGCAGTTCAATCAAATATGAAATCGTTGTGGAACATTTTTCTAGGTTAGGTTACAATGAAAATCCCTTGTTATCTACAGAGGTATAAGGTTATGGCTCTCCTTAAAAAACCCAAGCCAATGTCACTTCTAAAACTATTTTAAAGGTGTCCCATAGCTATATTCTATATTCTTAAGCTCTACTATCGTTTTCTCTTTAGTCAAATATAAACATCTAAATAATACAAACCTCCTCTTTAACTAAAATTACAACACCGCTTGTTTCGGGTTTTTTGGAAGGTTTTTGTTTTTTCTTTATTCAATATTATTGGCTTTTATTAGATATTTATTTTATTTTACTTTTTTGTGATTACATTTTACATAAAAAAAGTTTATTACTCCTACTTTACAAAACACAAAGAGGGACAATGATAACGCGTTCTGTTTCTGTTTAAATTAACAGCAAATTCCAAATCTTGGCCTTTTCTTACAACATTCTTGTTCTTCTTCTTTACATATTTGTTGTATATAAAAAAGAATAAAAAACAATTTATTTTAAATTACAAATTAAAAAGCGTATATGCAATTGTTGTTTTTATTTGCCCCCGGTCACAATGTAAAGGATTATAAATACGAACACATTGTGACCGGGAGCTAATCGACAAAGATTGTTATAAACATTATAGCCTAAATAGTCCATAATACCCTTCCACTTGAGGAATAGTTGATTTTCTTGCTGTTGCTGGTGATGGTAATAAACGCGCTTCTCTTCTCCTTCTTGTTTTGTCTCACTCCCTCCTCCTTCTCCTCTACGAATTTACTCCTCTTCGGCGACTTGTTGCAAGGGTTGTTCGTGTTGTTGCTGCTGCTGTTGTTGTTGTTGTTGCTGCTGCTGTTGTTGCTGATGATGCTGTTGTTGGTTCTTGTGATGATGTTGACCGCGTTGACGATTACGTTGATTACGATTATCACGACGCTGACCACCCCAGTTGCCACCACCTTGATTGTTTTGATTGCGATTATAGCCACGATTGCCCATGTTACCACGTTGGAAGAAGTTACCCTGCTTCATGTCGAATATCTTCTCATTGACATCCACCAAATTGGTAACCTTATCGACAAATTGCATAGCCAAAGCCTGTAGACGTGAGGGTTCAGAACGATGCATTACCACCGTTTCCGTGGGGTCATCCAAACTGGCCATCAGCTCTTCATTGATAATCATTTTACTGATCAACGAATGGACCTTGTGCACTGGCAGCTCATACATTTGAGCCAACGAGGGAATGCTCAACGAAGTATAGACATTCGAATAGGTGAACAAATAGGTACGCAATGATTCCTCCTTGATGAATTTCACCAACATTTCACGTACACGATCCGACTCGTAGAACAAATCCCACACCTTGGTGTTCATTTTCTTGTTGACAATGAAATTGACACAGGCTTGCCAGTTACCGCAACGCATAGCCTTGGCAGCAGCCACAACGTGTTCACGCATGGACTCGGGTGGACCCACAAGCGATTGACGCTCAGATGAACGCAATTGCTGATAGAAGGTCTTGCTGATCATGCGACGACGGGCATCAAATTCATGGGCAGCAATGTAGGGAATTTCGATAAGCATAGCCGATACCAGATAAACACACTCCAACAATTCCAAGTTTATGTGCATATGGAAGGGCATTTGACGTTGCTTTTCGATCTTCTCTTGTTCGGCGGAACGTTCGTGTTGACGTTGAGCCAACAAGCCCTGGGCCAACAATTCCTTGGGTTTGCCGGTGACCATAAGGTCGACCAAGCAGTGATGGGCTTCCTTGATGTTCTCCTGACGGAAGGCACACAGACCCACATTGGCCATCATGCGATTGTACAGGATCTTAGTGGAAGGATCGGCAGAGTCGATGTTATCCTGCAAGTGGGACATCAACACCAAATCGCGGGCCTGGAACCAGTTGTCGTGCAAAGCATGGTGGTAGATATGGGCCAAGATGGCACGGGTACGAATACGATCGGTGTCATCCTTGGCATAGATGAATTTACACAGGCGATCCATAACCTGCACGGAGGTAATAGTGCCAGCAGGCAACTCCTTGCGTTTTTGCTTCAATACCTCAGGATCGAATTTATAGTACAAATGTTCGATCTTTCTCAAGTAGATGCGGCAACGTTCATTGTTGTTGCCAATCTTTTCGAAGTACTGCAGGACGCTTTCAATGATCTTGGTAACGGTGACCTCATCCTTGAGGCGTAACACATAGTCATTGGAATGGGGATCACATTCCTTCAGAAGCTTGGTGAACTCATCGTCCAAACGTTCTACGACAGCCAAGGGGCAACCGCGAATGTAGAAGGGGGCCTCAACGAATTCCTCGTTTTCCTCGGAAACACTTTCGCTCATGTTGATATTCTCATTGGCCAACAACAATTTCATCATGTTCTGCATAACATCCAAGAGTTTGCCCCAATGTTCCAGTTTCATGGGTTCAGAAATCTTGGGGTTATAATCGTAGATGGCAGAAATAATGTTGAAGTGGATTTTAACGGCCACGGCAACACCCAAGTTATGTTGTTCGGAGATTTCCAACAACTCGAAAAGCATGTCGATTTGCATGCGGCGATCGGTACGTTTCTTACCACGGGCAGACATGATTTCCAAAAGCTTGGCCAATACCAAAGGAACATCAATTTCAGCATCCTGTTCGAACATTTTGGGTTTCTCCACAACGGGACCTTTGACAACAATTTCCCATCCACCGTCTTCATCGTCTTCTTCTTGCTTGCGACGCAACTTGGGTTCCTTGGTGCGCTTCTCCTTCTTGCGTTCCTCACGTTCATCCTTATCCTCCTTGCCGGTGGTTGCCTTCTTCAAGAAACGTTCACGAAGATTAACATATTGGTTGTCATCGTCGGAAGAGTCCGATTCGGTTTCAGTATCTGAATCCCAATCAATGGAATCGTCGGATTCATCATCGGCCTGCTCCACTTTGGCGGGAGCCGCTTTGGAGGTTTTTTGTTCCGCCGACAATTGCTGCTTCGAATCGCGATTGGTGAAATCATCATCCTTATCCTGATCGGACTCTTCAACAGCCTCATCATCTTCGCCTTCGCTTTCTTGATCGGGATTCTCACGGAATTTGGCCAAATCATCTTCGAAGTCTTTGATGTACTTGCGTACCTTTTGACGCAATGTGCCCAACGATTTGGCACTGTTCTTGGATAGGTTTTTGCGGCTCTCGCGATCTTCCCATACCTCATTGATGAAATCTTCCAATTCGGCCAGACAGCGTACGTAGAAACGGGGTGTAACTCCGTTTTCTTCTTTCGAAATAACGGGCAGGGCCTTTTGATAGGCTCTGGTTAGATCTTCAAACGTTGTTAGTATACTAGCCATGTCTTTGATTTTCTTGTGATTGCGAATGGTTTTGATGAGGGCGGTGATATTTTCATAACGTTTCTCCTTGGTGGAGCGTACCACACGCTTGACTTCTTCCTCATCATCACTGAAGGCCTATTTTTTTAAATAAAAAGGAAGGTAAGTAATTGCTGTATGTGGGGTGGTGCTGCATTTCTACTTACATAGGCTGTGGCTTTTGGCTGGGTTGGAATCTGAACCTCCTCATTCTCGGAATCGGTTTCCGAATCAGAACCAGTTGCAAAAAATCTTGACATCTTGTTGGCGACTTTAGCTCACTTACTTTTGGGCACCCCTTGTTGTTGTTTTGAATGGTAAAATCTGTAAAATATCGAAAAGATTGATGTACTCATTCACTTTCTTTTGAGGTTATGTTGTTTTTGCATATAAAATTTTTCGGCCAACATGGCTCTGTTTGTTGAGACACTCTGCCACACAACATTTTTTGCAAAGTCTTGTCGTGGCGATTTCTTGTAGGTGGACTTGGTGGAACACTTTGGAATATGGACAGGTGTGGACCTGCTCGGGTTTTAATAGGTTTTTGGCATAAAATTGTTAAAATATTTTATGAAAAAACTGAAAACTTACAGAACGAATAAAATATTCGACGGCTAAATCGCACAATCGCGTATAAAAAGGGTATTGCCAGACTGAAAATTGTTAAATGTCAAAGTGGCGATTTGGGGTTGGCAGTAATGCCAGATGTGAATGGTGGAGGGTTTTGAAATATACGCTGTAGACGATGTGATAATTCAGGGCGTATATTTATGTTAGAAGGGATTTTGAAATAAAAATATTCATGTGGATTCTCTTAAAGATTTTGGAGGTACCTGGGAAGGATTTGAGACGTATGTACGACGAATTTAAATTAAAATTTATTGGAAATTATATGAGAATTGCATATATTTTTTGACGCTATACGCCGCTATTAAAGTTATGTCCCAATGTTTTTAATTCACACAGAGTTGCCACCCTACAGCTATCGGTTAGCATACGAGACATCTGGTAATCTTGTATGACGCTGAAAATATACTTTCTTTGGTGGATATACCTCCAGAAAAAATTATTTAATACAAAAATTAAATTAAAGAAAAACAACCGTTAGCATTTAGGGTTTTTCTTATAATTGGCACAATTTTCCTCAGGTATGTTCCGGTTTTCATTCAAAATGCGCCGGGGTAAAAACTTTCTCTTAAGCCGGCCTTTCATCAATTGATAAGAATTCATGTGGCTGCTTGCTAAGAAGTTTTTTTCAGTATCCACTCTTTTGGGCGCATAATTTTTTGTTTATTGCCAAATTCTAGGAAACGCGGACTTGTGGCCGGCGGGAATATAAGAATAACGGTAATCGGTAAAAGACTACCACTGGAGTTTATTAGTAGTTAGGAAGAGGTAAAAAGCAAACACAAACCATGGCTGATGCGGCAATTGAAAATGATCCAGACGCTGGTGAATACTCTGTGGAACGTATCGAAGACAAGCGGGTTATAAATGGCAAGGTATGGGACACTCAAACCTTTTTTGGTTTATTGATATTTAATAATGTGGTTTTCATCTTTCAGACTGAATACTACCTTAAGTGGAAAGGTTATCCGCGTAGTGAAAACACATGGGAACCAGAAGAGAATCTCGACTGTCCAGATCTAATTGCAGCCTATGAGGAGTCAATTAAACCCAAAAAACGTAAATAAGGAATACGACGATAACTTCAGAAACAATAGCCTAATATATTTCTTACTCTCATATATTTACAGCCGAAGCAAAGAAACGCTCATCCACGGCACCCGGCGGTGAGCAAAAAACTAAACGAAAACTAGCCGAAGAGGAAAAAGATAATCGCAAAACAGTTGGCTTTGATCGTGGCCTGGAACCATCGAAAATTCTGGGTGCCACCGATTCCTCGGGCGAACTAATGTTCCTTATGAAATGGAAGGGCAGCGATGAGGCAGATTTGGTACCCGCGAAACAGGCCAATGTACGCTGTCCCCAAATTGTCATACAATTCTATGAGGAACGGCTCACCTGGCACACACCCAGTACCGACGATGACAAAATCTCCTCCAGCAAGGAGAATTCAGCAGCTGATTAGGCCCAACGCCCCCATCCCACAAATAGATATAAACATGTTAGTTTATAAGCATTCGTATTTAAGTGCATATTTTCTTGCAATTCACAAACTCAAGATAAACACAGCCACAACAACAACAACAAAACCCTATTCGACTTTTTCCAAAACGAAGCAACTACTTCTTAAACAAAAACAACAATGAATTGATTTTATTTTTTTTATTGTATAAACTCAAAACCATATATTTATGAAATCATATAGCTACGTCTTGTCCCCAAGACGAAAATATGTTTTTTTTTCTTTTTATTTCATTTTTGTTCAACAATGAATCGTTTATAGTTTTACAAATTAATAACTTACATACAAAAAAATGAATGTAAATTGTCTTTTCACTTTGATGCAACAACAACTCAAAATTCATTCCTTTGACTTGTCTTTTGATGTGGACAAGCAAAATGTTGAATGGATGTTTTCATAAGACAAACAAAAAACATTTTTTGAATATAAAAAAAAAACAAATTGAATTTTCAATGGTGTGTTCTCTTGTAATTATTAAATAATAATAATTATAAAAAATATATAATTTATTGATGTCTTTATTTAAAAATTGGGGTTTTGAATACTTTTCAATGGGGGTTAGGTTGATATTCCAAGGTTCCAAGTAAAGATAATCAATTAGTTAAGGTAAATCAATTCCAAAGCCGAAATTGTTAAGGCATACTTATATTTTAAAGAGAGGCGACGAACATTTTCAGCTTTGACGTAAAATAGTTTTTGAAAAATAAATCCTATTTTTGGTCCTTAGAAGTATAAAAATCCTTGATCTTTTTAGGCCATTAATTTTTTTAGCTCACGACCTTGTTAGTTCAATTCAGTTAACAATAGATTTCGAGAGTAGTGAGTAGTGGTTCATCTGCCGGATGGCTTTGGAAATTCTGCGACAAGATGTACATTGTCACAATAGCTAATATTTGTGCTTTTAGTTACGTTTATTCGTATTAGAATTTAATTCACCTGAATTAAAATCCAAAATAAAACTCACCATAAAATAATTTTAACTTTATTTCATTCAAAAAACGTGAATGGTACACGAGGCAGTTCCGGCACATTTTGTTAGATTTTTCAACGCTATACTGTATAGAGCTCTTTCGATGGCCAGCATATCTTTGGCTCCATTATCAAGCTGTTGTGGATCGTCAGACATGTCATAAAACTCTGTAAAATCCTTATTTAAAAAAAAGAAAATAACAATTATTTCAAAAAACAAATTTCTAAAAAAAATCTCAAAACCTACCTCATCATCTTCAAATTCACAATATAAATGATTAATCCCATAGGCAAAATTACGCACACACGAATATGTATTATTCCATGAATCTTGGCAGTGACATGCCGCCTCTACAGTGCACCCAGCCATACGATCTTCAGGTTGCCACATGGGACATTCAGATCTATAGGTTTTTAAATTACCCTCACCTTTGTGTTGCACCAGCAAACCACGACTATAATACATATCGGTGGAGGGATCATAACTATCCGCATTTACAATAAACGGCTGCAAAGATTGACCATCCATTTGGGGATCTAATGGTAAATTTAACCATTCCAAAATTGTGGGTAATAAATCGATTAATAATATTGGTGTTGTTATTTTAACGCCGGGTTTTATATTGGGACCTCTTATCAAAAAGGGAATTTGAATATCTGTTTCGTAGGGTTGACGTTTGTCGAAGGGTTGGGCAAATTGTCCAATGTGATAACCATTATCGGAGGTATATATAATATAGGTATTTTCCAAATCTTGAGATTGTTGTAATTTATGTACAACACTGGCCACCAGTTCATCAACAGCCAACAGTGATTCCCAACGTTTGGCAAAAAATGTATCCATTAAATTTAGGGTTTCTTGGGGTATTTCTTGCGAATTGGCCAAAAGCCAATGTTTTTCTAAAATTTCAATAATAAAATAATTCTATTAAAAAGGTAAAAATTAATGTTTATGTTTATCCTACCTTTATCAACCTTATTAAAACTAAGTGTCCTCTTGGCCCTGGTATTATTGTAAACACCTTTGTGACGTTCAGCCGGCGTAAAAGGTTGATGTGGTGCCGGTGGTGCAATAAATGCCAAAAACGGAGATGCCTTGTCCCTTTTATCCAAAAAATCCAATGTTTTATCACGCAACAAATCCGTCAAGTAGACATTACTATAACTAACATTGTGGTTATTTTCCCTTAGGGTGAAATTATAATAAATCGAATTGCCATGCAGGCCATAGAAATTCTGCCAACCAGGTGGTACTTCCCCGCCATGATAAGCATTTAAATATTTCCCAGCATAGAATGTCGTATAACCGGCATTTGCAAGTATGGTGGCCAATGTATGTTTTTCATCCTTGGCGCGCCAATGACTGCCATAACAACCACCACTTAGGGAATTATTAAAAGTTAAATGATTGTGGGCATATTTACCCGTCAATATACTAGCCCTGGATGGACAACACATTGGCGAGGAGGTATACTATAGAAAATTTGAGAATTTACTATAAAAAATAAAAATTATATGGAACAAAGACTTACGGCATTCTCAATTGTTGCTCCGGCCGAACCTATTAGATTTCTTACATTTCTCATTGGCTGCATACCATCCAATACCACATCCTGATCATCGGTTAAAATGATCAAGATATTGGGTTGTTTGTTTCCTACAGCTGTATCTAACAGCAAACAGGCGACAATGAACCATAACTTCATTCTTTGTGAAGAACCACTTATTCCGATTCCGACTTTGTTTTTAATAAAGTATTTGTTTACTGTTGATATACAGAATATGACTAAAGAACCTGACACCTTTGTCTTCTTTGAATATAATTTTACTTACTTCTGGTGGCACTGATGACATTGATTATTAATACCCACACAAAGACGCGTTAAGTGTTTTAAGTTGCGTTGCCATGGAAAAAGTGACCAAGTATAGATATTGAAACTTGTTGAATAAATATTTGTTTTGTCGTTTGGACAAACAAATATGAAGGGTTTTCAAAAGAAGTGTCTCTTTTTATGCGGAAAATAATTAAAGAGTATTCTTTCTTTAAATTATTAATCACTTTTCGGATTCTCTTTGAGGTTATGTTACAATGAAAAATACTATTTTTTAGAAAACAAAACAATTTGATTTGTGTAGTTTTCACTCATTAACGGTAATTAAATATTTGTATTATTTTTCTGAATGAATACTAAACTCTCTATTGGAAAATGTTCACATACACAAATTTTTAAACAAGAAAAATCCGGGAATCATTTGAAAGGTCTAGAAGTGTTCTTTGCAATACAGAAATATCGGAAAAAATATTCTGGCTGCACTTCAGTTATCGAATAAATCTTTCAAAGCTCGTTTCAATTTTCAGAGAAAAAAAATTGATATTCCTCTTGGCTACAGGAATATTAAAAAACACCACTCCTACCAGGTTTCCTTTGGTAAGTCTTGAAATGATCTTTCGAACACAGACATATCCAAAATAATAGCCGTTTTATTAAAAACCCAGGTACTATTTAAACCACAGCGAAATATTTAATTAGCCACCCCTCTGATAAAAAAAAAATGTGTCCGAAGAAAATATACCTTGTTGTCCTAAGTAAAGTGCCCTTCAGAAGTCAGATTCTTTGGGAAACAATTCCCTATTCTTTAAAAGGCTAGCTTTGTTTTTGAATTGAAGAAGCTGTCCTTCTAAAATAAGTCTTGAAATGATCTTTCCAACACAGACGTATATAAAATAATAGCCGTTTTATTAAAAACCCGGGTACTATTTAAACAACATTTAATTAGCCGATGAAAGGATGCCTGAAGATAAGAGACCTTGTTGTCCCAAGTAAAGTGCCCTTTAGAAGTCTGATTCTTTTGGGAAACCATTTCCTTTATATGGTACGTTTGTTTCTAATGAAAACTGGCACCTATTCCTTAAAAGGTTAGCTTTTTTTGTTTTTCCATTAAAACCCATGTCCTTCTAATAGAAACCGCCATAAAGTGCTCTTCAGAAATCGGATCCCTTTGGGAAACTATCACCTTTACGGGTACCTTTGTTAATAATGAAAACGGGTCATATTCCTTAAAAGGTATGCTTTGTTTTTCCATTAAAAAACATGTACTTCTAAGAAAAACAATCATAAAAAATCAAGAATTCTTTAAATGGACACATTTATTTTTTTAATTAAAGTAATATTTCCACTAGGAAAAGAAGCCTTCAGAAATAAATAAATATATGATAGATTAAGGAATATTTTCATTTAAAAGAGATCCTCCTTCTTTTAAAGAATAACCTAGTTCCTATGAAAAATAGTTCCCATAAATATTGTTCAAAAATCTGTAACATTAGAGAATGTTTTCTTTTAAAAAAGATGCCTGTTGTTTTAAAATCACTTTAAAAAAGAAATCACTTTAAAATTAATTTCAATAAAAAAAACTGTTTTTTGTCCAACGAATATTTTAGATTTGGACTGAGGATTTCAATCGGAGACAAAGTAAAAAATTGGATTACATTTTCCCTTTTTTATAACTTACCTTTCTCTTTCCCTCCATTTTGAATAAAAAACTCTTTGAAAAATTATTTTTTGGCATATTTTGATAAATTGTTATTTTTTTCCTTTATTTTAACATTCGTTTCGTATTTGTTTTTATTTTTTAAGAAAAATTTATTTTTTTCTCCATTTGTTTTAGTGATGTTTTGTGTGGCATTTAGTTTTGGTTTACGCGCCTACACATATACAAAATTTGTTCCTGGTGAGTGTGCCTGCGGTACCTTAGTTCTTTCTTTTAGGATTTTTTTCCAATTTCCAATATGCGGAGTTTAATTTATATTCTCCAAATTGATTTACTTCCAATCAATGTGGTTTTTTGTTTGTTTTATTTATCTAAAATGTTTTTTATTTAATTTTCGATTTTTTCTCTAATTTTGGGTAAAAAAAATGATTCTGTTTTCTTATAACATTGCAATGCAGCTGATACTGCCGGGCAATGTTTGACAAATTACAAAAATTTAGCATAGTGTAGTCGTGTATTTTTGGTAGGGTTTTCCAAAAAATCGGACATTGAATATCACAAGATGTAAATTATTTAAGGATTATTTAAATAAATAACGGCATTCGTTAACAAATTACAATATGATTTTTTAATTTACTAAAATGTGAATCAAAAAATAAAAAAATCGAATAAGTGAATTAGCTGGAACTAATTTATTATATAAAGTTGTGAAAAAATGTCTCAAAAATCATTTACCGGCACAACTCAAATAATTAAAAAGTAATTCTTTTTCTATAAAAAAATAAAGAAAAACATTTATTTCTTTCTAAAATTCTCATTTAATTCCCACCTTTCCTCAACAAAACAAAAAGGCCGATTTTACATTTTATATCGCCTCAAAGTATGCTTTGATTTTTGAATATTAAACCTGCCGTTTGCAATTACTTTTTCAACGAATGCCGCTTTAATAAAAAAGGAGATTTTCCTATAATTCATGTTTATTTCTGGAACCAATCAGATTCGTGGACCAAAGTGGTGAATTACATATTTATTTCTCGCACAAATATTTTATTAATTTTCTGCATTTGATCTTCTGTGGAAAGTGTTGACGACATTGAAGAGCACAAATATTGTTATTACCTTCATAAGTAGTTCAAAACGGATAGTTTTTTTTGTAGTTTTTGTAATTTTATGTTTTTTTTTTGTCATAACGTTTTGTTTCGTTTGTTATTATTTTTATTATATATTTGTTATACTTTTTATCCCGTTTACTGTTTGTGATTAAAATGAATACTTATTTTTCTACTTTGTTTTTTTGTTTTACAGATTTTTATTTTATTTTTGTGTGTATTCTTATGGGCATTTTTTGGATGGATCCATTCGAAAATGTGGCCATCATCTGTTTCATATTAGGACGACTTATGATTACAGGCTATTATTCTTCTTCCAAAAACATTCCAATCACAGAATATATAACAATATTCTTTGAGGAGTTAGGACCTGTAATCGTCTCTCTCTCGCTTTCTCTCTGTTTGTGTGTATGATGGGTGGTTTAGTGTACACTACAGCCTATCACTACTATTTGCTAAGGGACTACAGAAAAAAATGTACAAAAAATTTTATAGATCATATATCGCAGAATGACATCTATGATCGTCACATGGCTTATCGAAAACAAAATTGAAAATGTACATGCTCAAATCTTAAGATAAATCGGTGTTGTTATACATTTCTCATACCATCAACATATCTATTATGTATGTATGTGTATAAGATACGTTTTTTAATCCTTGAAATTACAGTTGTACATTTGTTACTTTGCAGGTGGTGTACTCTATGGCCAATAAATGTAGGCCACCACCACAAATCTCCATTGACTTTGACCTATATTTTCTTCCTTTTTTGCCACAGAATCAGAGAGAACATGCAACATAACTAGCATGTACATTTTTTTTTCAAAATTCCAAAAAGGTGGTTTCCTACACGTTAAACGTCCTCTCCCACCACCACCGCCGATTTACTAAGTTCTCTTTAAGGAACATTTGGATCTATATTTATTCTCTTATAACCACATACATACACACATAATGTCATTATTTTATAACTACCGATATATATTAAAATTAAAAAAAAAAGAATATGAACAACATATATTTAAATATAAATACACAAAAGAATAATAATAATATTAAAAAAAGAGAAAACAAACAGAAAAGCAAAGAAACAAAAATACATACAATTTAGAATATTATTACATACAGATTAACATACATAAATTAGCCCTACATATACAATAATTGTTATATTCTATGGATATTAAATATTGTTGTTATCTTCTTCTTTTCTTATTTTTTTCTTAAAACACTAAAATTATAATTAATTATTCCAATATTTACAATATTGATTATGTGTTGCAGCCACTTGTTACAAGGTGACAGCGGCGGGCGATTGGTTACTGCTCCTTCTTCTCTTTCTCTTGCTTGCAGTTGACCACAAAAAAGACAATTTTGTTTTGGGGTTTATTAATCCTGCAGCCACTCTAGGAGTGTGGCCATCAGCCTTTAATACAATGCCTATCAAATTGTGGGATTCCTTTTGTATTTCTCAAGTAAATAAATAAAAAACTAGTGGTTGGTGGTTGGCTGTGACAACGACAAATTTTAGTTTCTCTGTAATGCGCACCTTCCCCCCAGCCAGTCCAAATTTCGGCCAAGACATGTTACAAATTATTCGTGGGAACTGGGGGGAAGCTGTTGTTGTTGTTAATTTGAAAATATGTTGTATCTTTTGTTGCAAGGAACTCGTCGTTTATAACTTGGCATTTGCAGAGAACCGCAGCAGCATCCACATTAAAAATAGTTTTATTTGTTGTTGTTGTTGTTGGGTTTAGTATTTTTCCAAAGCTCGCCTCAGCTTTTTACAATAAAATGGACATTAAGACTCTCGTTCCTTCTTGACCTTAATCTCTTCTCCTAGAATTGTGGTAATCTCGCCCTGCATAAAGGCCCAAGGTATTGTTGAGTTTGCCAACGGACATCGATCGCCGCTGGGACAATAGACCTCATTGCCAAGACCCTGTGTGTGGAGGAAAATAAGAATACAATTAGCATTACAAAACTAAATAAATAGCAACAACAACTTACATTTTGCCGTTTAATGCTTTCCCTACTGCATGGGAAACAGAACTTATGATGATTCACCGAAGGACATTGTACAAAGTGAGTATCTTCAAGTCGCTCCTGGCACAGTGTACACTTAAGTGTGGTATTTTGCGCTGCATTTGGTGGCGGTGCTGTTGTACCAGGTGGTGCAGTACCGGCTCCTGTACTTGTTGTCAGGCCGGTTGTTGGCTGGCCTGTGGGATTTGCACCGGCCGGTCCCGTTACACCATCAGGGCCACCTGGGGCTGACGCCGCCAATGGACCATTTGCTGGACCATTGCCAACGCCACCGCTGCTATTGTTTACCGGTCCACCCGGTCCTACGGGAGGTGCATTTGTGGGTTGTTGTGGATTGCCCTGGGCTTCGGAGCTAGTAACTGTGGTACTGGACACATGACGTGATCCCGATGAACGTCGTCCGGAAGACGAACCAGCTGAAATGAAAAAAACACACACATTAGTAGCTGCGGCATATATTGCCACACTTGCAACGTACCTGAACTGTTCGGCGAATGCTGACTACCCCGAGATGCCGTACGTGGCGGTGGTGGTCCGGGTGGACTGGGTCCATTGCGTGGGCTACCGGGCGGCAATGTCTCTGTAATAGACATTAAATTAGCCATCGGACTTGCTAATTGTGTTACTGAGGAGGCTGTTGTTGATAATTGTGGCATAGATGGTGGTGCTATTGACTGTGGTGGAAGAGGTTGTGGTTGAGATGTTGGTAATGCTGGTGGCGTCGAATTGCCCAGCGAAACGACCGGATGAGGCAGTGTTGGAAAAACTATAAAAATGCGATTCAGAGGATTTGACCCCCAACGCGAAGAAGGGAAAAAATCAAAGATTATACACATTTTTCAACACACAAAAACAGACACAAAATTTTGAACACATACAGTGATTATGTGGCAGAAAGATAATGTGATAAAAACGAATTTTGCTAAATCTAGATTGCACCTCAACGTTTGAGTTGGTTGCGAGAGGGTAAGACAAGGTCCTATATTTAGAAAATTTCTTTCTCTACAACATTACAAGGAGGAAGTGGACAGCAAATATCTATTACAGGATACTAATGCTTAGTGCGACACTTGAGGGAATTAAGTTATATTTCGAAAATCCTGCATATAAACAAATAATCCTAATGACAAGATATAAAACAAGGCGCCTAAAAACCAGAGGTTTTTAGTGTTTCTGAATCTACAATTTTTTCAATGTTTCCCCCTTTCCTAATTTGAAAACATTTCCCAGTTGTATGTACATTCAAATCATGAATGAATGAACGGAACGAACAAGAACACACTTCTTCGTCTCTGCTGGTGTGTTGGGTGGTATTTGAAAAAAATACAAAAACAAAAATATGTTCATTCTAAATTGTTGGCTGGCTATATTTAGAGACGATGTGGTCGTGTAATCATCAGTTGTTGTTAATGCTTTCTGTGTCGTTTTCATTTTCGCTCTGACGAACATGTTTTGTTTATTTGTTTTTTTTATTATTATTATTTTTCCTTCCTTCCACGTATAAAGCGTGTGTGTGTATGTATTATGTACATAGTATATAGAAAATTTATAAATAAATAATTATATGTATGTAAAGTATTTTGTATGCATATAGCTTAGTTGCCGAATAAACTATTTGAGGTTGGCATAGCCATTGAGAAATTTCCTTAAGCTGAGGGAGGATATGGTAAGAAGTTAATAAATTGGGGTAAATGGGGACTTAAGTCCTGAGTTTATCTATACTAAAATAGAAAAAAAACGTTAATTTGTAATTCTGAATTCAACAAACAAAACGATCATATTATACCCACTGTGAATGAATGCATAGCACAGCTATCAACAGCTGTTAAATATCTCAAACATCCATTCACAATAATGGCCGTTGTAGTAGTGTGGTGTGCATGATATCTACACAAATGAATGCTTTATTTTTGTGTGTATTTTTTCTCTGTTGTTCTATTATTTTTATTTGTATGACGACAGCAAATTGTCTGGTTGTGGATGAGGGAGGGGGAAGTGCCATGGAAACGGCAAACTGGCACAGTGTTTAAGAAAGTATTTTTATTTCCTATTTACAAATACCGGCATGTTTTATTAAACTAACGCTTCTTTTCATATTAAGGCATTCACAGTGAAATGACATAAGAATGTGCATAACAGCTGTTTTCTGCTCCTTATTGATAGTACGTGTAATTAATGTTTTAACTACATTGTAGGCGCAGTTGGAGAAGGGTCACATGGGGGAAGAGGATGAATATTAAATCTTTGGCTTGAAAATAATTTATTTTACTTATTACGTGTTTAATAAAAATTCTTCCTTATGATTGTGATCAAATAATCAATGCTTCTTCTTTTAGATAATTGCATTCACAATAAAATGACATCCTCAATGTGTGCATTTGGCTGATCTGCCTTTCTGCAATGACTTTATAAGGGTATTTATAAAGGTTGAAATAAATTGTTTGGTCAGAGAAAAAGGTACCGGGTGCGGTTGATTAATAATTCAGATGGTGTTTTGACAAATTTTTTTATATAGATTATTTAATATAAACCTTCCTTTGATATTGTGCCAATGGCATTCACAGTGAAATACTATCACCACTAGGTTTTTAATTACACCTTAATCATTGACGTGTGTAAAATAAACGTTACATTACTTAATTAATTAAAATTTTAGTCGTCAACACCTTTCTTTCCCCCAAAAAAATTCTTAATGGCAAAGAGCCATATTTAAAATTCATAGAACAAAACTTCCTTTTATTCTTAACTTCCTATTAACTTAAAAGAAACCCATATTTTCGTAATGATTATAAATCTCCTCGTGGAAACCCCGTCACACAAATAACACAAAATTAAGGTATTGACTAGCGGGAAACACGCAAAGGGGCTTGTGCATGTCGTTTGTTGAATGTGTGGGACCGTGCTTTATAGTATATATTTATATATATGCATGTGTATGTTTGGCCGGCTGTTTTTTCATTTCGTTTCGTTTATTTTTTGTGTTTGTCCGTTCGTCTGTCTGACTAAATTGACAAAATAACAGCAGCATGATTTTTCATTCAACTTAGTACGCATACATACGTCACTTTCAGAGTGGTGGTACTAAAAAGTAATAATGATGGTGATGGTGTCAGCAATTGTATGCTGTTTTTTTTTGCCACGGCCAGGGGAGGGATAAATGTGGGAATGACTGTTGGTGGTGGTGGCGGGTAAATTGTCGTTGGCATGCAAACGTGCATGTACGAGTACAAGTTCATTTTCTTCTTCTTTTTCGACTTGTTCATGTCGTCGTCGACGTCGTAGTGTTATAGTCTTTTTTGCCCACTCCACTCCTCCTCCCCTTCCCTGGTTTGTGGACAATGACGACGTTAGCATTTGCCAAAGTCTATTTGTGGCTTTGCCAGTCGAGGAGGAGAAGGAGACAAAGGGAGGTACACACGACGTGTTTGTTATACACAACAAACCAACGGATGCTTGGAAATTATAAGGCTGGTCTTCGTGTTTTTGGCATACATATTTGCTGCAGTCAGCCACATAACAATGTGCATCATAAACTTATGGAATCAAGATGCATACAGGGCATATATACATAATACAAATTGTTTGTATGTCTGTACAAGTTGAAGACATATTTTCAGCGGTTCGAGAAAAACACGTTAAATGCGAATAAAACTAAATATAAAAAATATATTTAAGTATTCACTTGTAAAACCAGTTCTGTTGCCTACTCACCACACAGTGCCGTCTGTCGTCCATAGGCATGACGGCCTTAAATTTCAAACAACAACAATAAACCAGTTGTCAAAAGCAAACAGTCAAACGACGAACCGGACAAGTTAAAAAAAGTGGCTGGCAGTCACGTCCAGTTTGTCCGTTTAACCATTCCAAACCGAACACCACTCAGCGCACTCATCACAATGCCTGCCTGACTGCATGACTCTGGTGTATACCTCCCCTTTCTATATAGTGTTCGTAATATTAAAAGTCTCCCGACAAACACAATACTGGACTGGTCTGAACTACTGCTGCTGCTTCTGAACGTGTTTGGCATAAATTCAAACTCCCGCGCACTAACTCATTACTAATGCTATTGGCTAGTATATGTGACCGGAATTTTTGATGCAAAACAATAACTTTAGACTTTAAGAAAAAAAAGGCACAGAAACACGCTCTGAGCTATAGCTTTCGGACGGGCCGAACATTAGTATTCCATCGCCATCACAACATCATTCAACATTTCGTGCATACAGTAATCATCATTACGGCAATTCGATGATGCCCTGAATTCTGATAAGGGTTTTTTGTTGTTGTTATATTTTCATATCAGTATTGGCAAATTTATACCCTACATTCTAAAATATAATATATTGATAAGTGTGAATTTCAACATTTTTCTAATATTCGTTAAAATATTAGGAATCATGTTTAGGATACAAATATTTACATGTAAACCGTATAAAATGATTCAGTTCTAATGGTTTATTTCAAATAGTCTACTTATTCCCTATCAACTAATTATAATATTAATACAACGCTTCTAGGTTATGGCATTCACAGTTAAATGGTATCCGTGTGAAATGACATAGGGTTAAATTGACTCTTGGGACAGCTGAGTGTGAACATAAATTAATCTAAAGCATACCTTTTCCAATTAATAGCATTCACTATAAAATGTTACTCCCAAGAACAAGCTTCGTTGATCTATAGGTTTGAATTCACTCTTGGGACAGGTGATAGCATGCACTACAAAATGATATCACCAATTTAATGAAGTTTAAGCTTTGTTTCATTTTACTGTTATCCCACATAAATGATATATTATGAAGTGGCCTGGTCACACAACAAATCCAAGCCAATGGCTATCAATTTTAACAAAATAAACTATATTTCAGTCATACGTTTATCATCACATGGCTATGTCATGATTATAAATATCGCATAGATCAAAAATCAACTCAACTGATATCTTCGAGAATTTATTAGCATTAATCTATGTATAAACATAACAAAAAACTACGTTGACAAAATATGTACGTTTGCAGGTGTGAATGGTCGGACGATTCTATTCGTAAGATAACAATTTTTATCTAATTTGCTATCTTATCTATAATTGCTTTCATTATATATCTAATCATTATTATTTTTTTTCCATTATCAAACGACCTTATCTAAATACAAAATTTCATTGTGTTTTTTATCAGGATATATAGCTACTATTGTCAATTGTTTGTTCTTTTGAAAGTCACACACATATTTATTGACCCAATATTTAAAAATTGAGTTTTGAACTTAGCTCGATGTTTTCTGTGAGTTTTTTTTTTAATCTAGTAATTTCGTTTTAATCAATGGATAGATTAATATTTAGAAATCTACGACTGATTCGAAAAATCTAACTTTCTTTGTGTCGAGTTAACATCTAATCTAAACGAGCAAGAAAAAACGTCACAGATAGATATTTGATAAGATTTTTTAATTAAATAAACACTATCAGTTTTCAATGACAATAAATGCGCAGTAAAAGAACGGCATACTAATATTTGCAGCTGATTACGTTTCAATGTGACAGATATTTATTAGAGGTAAGCAACAATGTGAAGCACCCTTGTGATCAAAGACACAATGACTATTTAAATCTTCTTCTTCTTCTGACATATGTTTTCATATGTCAAATGACTATTTAAATGAATGCATTTTTTGGAAAAGAACAGAGTTGCATTTAAATACCCCTTTAAATTCGAATTTGTACCACAGATTCTTTGCATATATTTATAGACGGATTTTCATCCTTGATCTTATGATACTGTCTTTTTAAATTTATTTTTCCATTTGTCGAGCTTTGCAATCAATACTTTCGCCATGAAAATCCCCTCCTCCCCCTATTTTTAGTTATATATACCCACACATGATATTATGCGTTTACTCAGAACTGTATGACTGGCTTGTCAACTGGTGGTGATAAGACCACAACCACATACTGTTGTATATGCATGCCATAGGCGGTTCCTTTTCCTCGCTCTTCTCGCGCAGCTTTCCACATGTGTACCACTCTACTCTACTGATGATTGTATGGTGGAATTCAAATCTTTATAATATTGTGGTGGTGGTAAATTGAAAGCGATAAGATTCCTTCTTATCACTTCAAATAAAAATAATAACAAAAGTATCCGCAAATACTATAACAATAACAAAAATATAAAATATACTGAGAAAAAGAACAAGAAAAACCGCACACAGCCAGAGACATCTGTAGAGAATTTTTATTTGTACATTGATATTTTGTTAAAAGTCCCTTTCACGTCCGTACGTCCGACCATACATCCGTTTATCTGCCTGTCTGCCTATTATTTGTATTCTGATTTCAGAGTCGTATTCGGAGATATGATGTAGAGGCATCAAAAGTAAATACCATTTGTAAATTAATATTTAGAAGGCGGAGAATTCTGAGAGACCCTATTTTACTGATAATAACAGTAACAAGTCGCAAAAGGTATATTTTTGCTGTTATCAATTTGTTTTTTGCCTGCTGCTGCTTCTGCCGCTCGCTGGACTTATCAGCCAAATTTTCCGTTTGCGATAAGATAGTCTGATTCTGGCAGAGCACAGCTTTTTCATTGGACTCACATATTTCGATTTAGCAACAGTATGTAAATACTTGTAGACAGATAAGGTATTTGTAGTAGGCGCAAAAAATATATATTTCTACACTTTAAGTTATGCATTTTTGTACCGGTCACAGATTTGCTGCATTCAGGGGATAAATTTCGAAAATATTATGGATTGATAAGTAAATATTAAAATTTTTGCCTTAGATAAGGTTCAATTTACATAATTTCCAAAAAAAAACATTGGTCAATTGACATACGTCGTCATTAAAGACACTCTATTAAGCATTCGTTATTTAAAAGGGAAAGTAGAACGAAATACGTTTAATGTAAACATAATCTAAAACGCCATTTACCTCCTCTTTGAGGATTTATTTGACATATATGCAATGGAATTGACAGTTTAGATCTACTGAATTTACTAAATGTAGTAAAATGTAAACGTACTATAAAATAGCTTTACAAGGGGTGTTCACACAATAGCATATACATTTATTGGTTCTTTCAAAGTGTCTATTCGAACAAATATCGTTTTCAACTAATTATTTGCCTTTTGCCACACGCTGTCATAAAGACGCACTCTAAAACAGGGTTTATATATAGCCGATAGTAACATTGTAAATTTTTGTATACATTTATTTCAATTGTTTAATAATACTAATGAACAAACAATTAATGTCGACTAAGGAAAACTAAAAACAATTAGTAATTTATATTATTGTCATGTTGTTTATTCTGCAAATAAAATAAACACTTCTACGTAAGCTAGACTGCGAAGCTAGAAAAGTGTATTAAAAAATTATAACTGCTGTACTAATTATATTTATATTTAGAAAAAAATGTTTGCAAATTAATAAGTCATGAAAATTTCACATTCTCATACAATGTTTATATGGACTTATGACGTGTGTTTTTTTATTTAAAATTTGAAATTGAAATAAATTTTATTCATCGTGTTTAATTTGAAGTATATTATACAAAATATACGTCATAGATTCAGATGAAGGGAGATAGCTAAAAGGAATTAGAAATTAAATGCCTAAAATGTCCGTTTATTAAATACCTAAATTGTCCGTTTATGCAAATATGTAATTTATTTGACGTAAATTCTTTTCTTTGGGTTTAAACATGTCATGTAAACATAATATTTTTTTTTCTATTTGACATTTATTTATTTCGCTTTGCTACATAATTTTTTTCATATATAAGCAATGGGATTGAAAATCTACACGTACGTTTACACATACCTTTACTATAGTGTAATGTTTTATTAAACGACATTTACATTTTAATTTTTTTACCGGGTAAACCTACTATATGAGGATTTATTTGGCATATATTCAATGGAATTGACAATTTAAACCCAATTGGGTTAACGAAATATAATGTAAACGTTCTATTAAAACCCTCCTAATGTCAACACAACCTAATCTCTTCCAAAAATTAAATAAACTCCCAAATTAGTAACCTTAAACGGCATATACATTAGAACTTTTTACCGGGTTAACCTACTTTATGAGGATTTATTTGACATATATGCAAAGGAATTGACAGTTGAAACCTATTGGGTTAATGAAAAATATGTACACATGAAAATATGTACACATGAGTAATATTAATACTCTATTCCTAGACATTTTCCAAGATTTGTTGGTGTTTTTTTTTAATCTTCCGCCTTTTTTCTGTTGTAAAATGCACGCGCCAAAATATATTCTACGTCGAATGAACAGAAAAAACAGCAACAACAAAAACAAACATGAATCCAAATTAGTTGTATATCATGTTTTATGTTTTTGTTTTTTGTTGTTGTTATATTTTTATCCTATTTTATTTTTGTGCTCGTACGACGAGTTCATGGTGCATTAAAATACTCTCACTCTCTTCACACTTCCTGCAGAGATTGTACGTACATCCATACATATGTTTTTGGGCATGCATCATTTTGACTTGTTTGCTTATTGCTTCAAGACACTTTCCTTTCTCTCATATTCTTGTTCTTCTTCATCATCTTCTTCTTCTGTTTCCTGTACAGATTTTTGTGGTATTTCAACAAAATTTTATTTAGAACATTACACAGTGAGTGTTCTGACAATGTAACAGAAAAAGAGAGTCAGGAGAGAGAGAGATTCCTGCATCACATGTAGAGAAAAACATGTTTATGAACTAGTACGGAAGCCAGTTTAGTTATTTGAGAAGAAGCAGCAAAATACAAAACGTAGTTATGCTTCTTCTTTCCTTTGTTCCGTTTCTGTTTCTTGAAAATTCCTGTTTCTGTGTGGGGCTTTGCACTGAACCAAACAAGACAGGCAGACAGGAGGAGGAATAAAGTATCCATACACTTGTATGCCTAGTTCATTTTGGCGCATACACACACATTCACATATGTACACACAATTTACTTGGCACCTCTTCTTCCTCTGTCTACTTGCTTGAGACCCTTCCCCCCTTATTTCCATCAATGAAAAAAAGACCAGTTTGACTGGGGAGATGTTGTTCAAGAAGAAGAACAAGACAACGACAACAACAACATAGTCGTATATGTAACTCATGTTGTTGTTGTTACTCGTGACTCCGTGGTCGGTGTATATGTTACGTGTGTTACGTATCTGCATAGTTGTTGTTTTGTTGGCTAGGGCCAGTGTAGTAGTGGAGGTTGTTGAATGGGATGGATTGGTTGGATAAAACGACGACATCGTTCGTTCGTCGTCTCGTCCAGTTAGTTACTTAGAGCAAAACTGGTTTGGTGACGAATGCCTGGCTCACACACAACATTGATACATACAACAACATGAACGACGACAACAACATCGTACAAACTCGTTTTGGTAGTGTAGGTAGGGGTAATTCTGTGTCTGCATGTGAATATTTGTTTGTTGGCTAACTGGCTGGTGATTTTGGCACGTTAGCAAAATTCGATCATTGCGCATGACATGTTTTGCTTCTTCATGGCTTGGCTAGCAGGCTGGTTGGCTTAGTGAACGAACGTTTAATGTGTACTAAACTAGTATTGGGGGTTAGTTCACGGGTACTCGGCTCATACATACAGGCATACAACACACTGTTTAGTTTAGTAGCTGTGTGTAAGTATGTATTATATGTTAATATACACACATTGTTATACATATCTATTTGCATATATACATACAAGAACAAGTACGCGCGCATATGAATTTCTGAATTATAGTATAGTTACAAAATGAAAATAACAGCAACAACAACAGCAAGAAGAAGAGCACTTAAAAAGGATAACCGTTACAATTATGAGCCCTTGGTATACACAAATGCAGCAGCAGCAGTAGAAGAAGAAGAATGGAAAAAAGCTTTTTTTACCCCCCTTTGGTGTAAATATCCATATACCCAGGCCCAAATATTTAGTTCGCATAGAGGAGCAAATGTGTGTGTTTGTGTGAGAGAGATTTGGGCCAAGCTCAACTCTCAACATTTTTCCAGGGTTTCCCGAAAGCGGATATAGGGTACTTTTCGATGTCGTGATAAGTGTTCACCAAGAATGCCTTATCTTATCAAGTCCGGCGATAGGTGTGAACCCCACACCGATAACAAGAAACGCCAACAGAGGAACCACGACAATTGTGTAGGTTGGTTTATCTCTCTCTCGAAAACAAATATTGTTCTGATTTAATTCCACCTAAAGCAAAAAAAAGGGATCTATGGGGACCACACAATTTTCGTTCACCAAAAAAATTAAACCTGATAAACTTATCTTCCAAGATAACGAAAAACAGACCAACCTCTGCTGAACGTTTGCCGGGAGTTAGAGGGGGAGTGTTTTTTTTGTGATTATTAGCAAACGAGTGGAGGGAAAAGATTTTTTTCATTTATCTTGTCATTATGATCTTCGTTAGCACTACCAACAATTATGACAACAACAACAAACGTGACATCGATAATAGCAATACTAGCAGTGTTATATATGCCTAGAATTATGTAGGTGGGTACACACTATTAGGTTTGAATGGAAGTAAAACGATATTTAGACATTAGAATTGTTTCCAGGTTAACCTCTTCTATAAGAATTTAAAGAATATACATTAGAACCCAGTTGATGAAAATATACCGTGCGTATTAAAAACAATATCCCTCCATTCAAAGCCCCTAGTGTGTGCACACCTTTAATTATTGCATCTCTTGCACTATACTCACCGCCAGGCTTGAAGGTGGAGGCATCAAATGAGGGCGCTCGCACAGGCTGATGTTTTTCTCTCATACCCGATGGACGTTCCGATACAAATGACACGGCTGCTGGCAATGATTCGCCTCGTGTTAGTGGCGGCCTCGTCGAGGGATCATCCAATGCTGGCCGCTTGATACCCGATGGGCCCCCGCTGCCATCTGTGTGACCATGATCATCCTCCTCTGAAGGTGATCTCTTCAAATTAACCGACAATGCTGGCGGCACGGGTCCACCAACCTGCGATGGATTGATATTGGAACCGGCTGCTGCAGCGGCCGCCGCCGCCACAGCCCGACTGGACATGGGCATGTGATGTGGTGCCATGTGTGATATACGAACGGGCCTAACATTGGCATCGTGGGCCTCCATTTTGACGGGGAAATCCATGAGCGTAGTTTGTGGCGGTCCAATACGTTGTGCAGGATAGGCGTGATGATGTTGCTGCTGACCCACTACTCCCACACTAATGGGTCCGCCACCAGCCGCCGTCACCCTATGTGTTTGACCTTGTGTGGGTGGTTGCACGGAGCTGGTCTGAACTTCACCGTTTTCATGACTCCTCTTGGAGGCCTGATGTAGGCGTTTCATTTGTCTGGCTGCATCGAGTACCAATTCAATGCGATCGGCTCCCTCATAGTTGACACAGCCACGGCACACAGCTTCGGAGAAGTCATTGATCATGGCCCAGGGCATGCGGGGCAGATCGCATAAATAGCAATGTTGACGTTTTGTTTGTAAAGACATGATGATGCTTGTTCACAATAAATGTTTAATCACTGGTTATGTTGTTTTTTTTTAATTTATTCCATTAAATTGAAAAAATTATTTTTTTTAGAGGGCACGATTTTCTGTTCACGACCTGCTCTCCTTTATTTTTTGGGGAACTAGGTATAGCTACATCAGCCTACAAAATTTACACAATACACACAATTTTCTAAGGACTTTTTTTTTTTGCTTCCTGCTTTATTTTTTGGCCTTGCTGCAGATAATATGTACTCGGTCACACTCCCCTAGGAAGGAGGATGGTCAAAAAATAACACTATTTTCTTTCAAAATTAAGGTTCACTTAATTATTATTTAATTATTTTCTTATTTTTTAATAATTTTCAAATTTAATTTTTGGTTCTTTTTTTTGCAATAAAAATTTTTTTCTCTTAAAAATTCTTATTTGGAATTTATCCGCATTCATCCACCACGGCGAACGTAAGCGTACACCATAATACACATCACAACTGCACTCATATAACGTCGCAAACGTACTAAACACAGTCCATGAGGCCGTTGTCCGTTATAAGACCGTATCGAGCCGTGTACTGTGCTGGCTGGATGGCTGGCAGGCCAGGCAGTTGGTTCGTGAGAAGGAATAACAACGACGACGACGATTGCTTCGTTTGGCTTGATTCGCGTTTTCTTCCTTTTTGCCTCCTCCCCTTATTGTCCTTTATTGATTTTTGTGTATTTGGCAAGACACGACGACACGATACGACAAAAGAAGGAAGGAAATCCAAAGGCAATGTGTAAACACACCACCAGTAGATACACTATATCCGTATACGGGAGGGAACGACTGGCTGGCTAACTGTCAAGTCAGTAGCTCTTTGCAATTAACAATGCGTTGAGATTTTTTGTTTTTCGATAGCGGAGTTCGTTTTAAAAACGCATGTCCTCCCTCATTTTGTTTTTTTTAATTCACTTTATTCACAAAATTCCAAAATTTAGTGGAAATTTCCTGTATCAGGTGTTTTGATCCATTATTTAAACAAACAATAGATATAAATCCCAATAAGCTTTTTATTTTTTTCAGAATGAAAATGATGTTCTGATTTTAATTATTCTTTTTTATTCCGATTCTTCTTTGGGACCACCGCCGTTTTATTTCATTTAGTTCAAAACCGTGGACGAGAAAAGGCGACAAAACACACGACACGACAACGATACATATATCTCGTGTGGATATATGTATGTAAGTTGAAAAAATACACAAATTGATGTGCTAGGTAAGTTGGAATCCGTTTTGTGAAACGACGACAAGACGCGCGCTCTACCTTTATATCCGACAGTCTGCAACCGAATAAAACGGAATAGACGCAAACGGCACTCTGTTAGTGAATCACTCGAAAAATTTACACTTCTCGCGCTCGTGTGTTTGTGTGCGAGTGTGTGTCTGTGTGCATGTATACCATTCACAAACGTCGTATTTCCCTGTCATGCCCAACCATCCATCCCCTCTCGTTCTCTAAAAAAAAACTTATCAACTGTAATCAACATCATTAGCCGGCAATGTATTTAAGGGGGCTGTTTGGAATAGAAGGGGCCTCAAGAAAAGTTGATAAGAGGACAATTGTATAAAATATTATACATGTAGATTAAAAATATAATTATAGGGTGTTTAATTTTCAATAAGATTTCGAAAAATTCACATGAGACGTCTTAAAACCCAAAAAATCTGAGTTTTTCATTTATTTTTTTTTTTCAAATAATGCAACAGATCAGCTGATTCATTGAACAACTGATGCAACATTGTTGAAGATTGATTGTCAAAAATACTTCAAGAAATTAACAAAAAATAATTAAACATAAACGTGCACACCTTATCTTTTACACTCAACATCATTTTTACACATACATCATTCAGAACATATTGCCGGAAAAGTATTACTTAAAAAAATAATAATTGCTTCTTTAAATTACAGCTGATTCATCAATCTTAAGAGACTTATACACGATGTACATATGTAAAATGTACATGTGTAGTTTCACACTAGTCCATTCATTGTGTAGCTTTATAAAAATGCAGTTTCCTTTTAGAATGAGCCTCATACTTAAAGAAAATCTTTTTTTTTATAAAAAAGGCCCCATCTTCGGCCCAAATCTATCCGCTATTCCGATATTTTTCTTAGCTAATATTACCATCATCATTCTCAAACAACCATCACCTACCAACACATATTCAACTGTGTGTGGTGTGTGTTCGGTATTTTTGTTGCCCTATTCAATATTTACTTGAGATACACATCACATTTTGTTGTTGGTGTCGTGTGAGAACCTCACGTCGCTATGTGTATGGGTGTGTGTGTGCGGTTATTTTATTTTTATTGTTTTTTTGTTTTTGCTGATAAACACACAGATACTGTACCCGAATCGTCATCTACGTGTACATACACAAACAGCTCTAAAGAAGAGAATGGAATGCGCATGACAAAGTACAGTTTTCGTGGACAGTGGGTTCGAAGTGGAAATAAAAAAAATATATATAAATAACTTACTATTCCCTCAATTTATTACCATAATTGAAAGATTCATTCCGATAATTGTTCTGGACAAATATCAAATAAAAATTACATTATAATGTAAACGTGGTGATAGATGACGTTTAGCCTACTAAATCCACTTCATTTCGTAAATCTAAACGTGATATAAGCAACATAGATTATACAATAAAATATATTTGACAATCTAAGTTATGTGTTTTATACATACAGTTTCGATATAAACGTTTAAATCAGGCCTAAATTACATATTAACAACTTTTTGATATAAATATGACTACCCAAATAGGTATTGTGTAAACAACATGTTAGCCAGCTAAAAAAAATATTTGAAGTCTTTTACAAACTTAAGGCCATTGTGAACATTAAACGGCTAAAAGGTGACACAAATTACTGGATATTTGTTTGAAACCCATAGCGGTTTTAATAAAAACTAAATTGTATTCTACTTTTGACATATATTGCCAAGTAAAATATGCATTTTTTGTAAATGATTTTTAATGTAAATTTAATCTACTTATGTACTACGTCCCTTAATTTTCCAAACAATTAATTAATTTAATTTATCTAGTGTAAACATATGACAATTTCTTTCGCATTCATTCACTGTAATTGATAACACAATATTTTGCCATATAATTTTCTGATAATTTCATTACCAAACAAAGAATAATAAAACAAATTAATTATTTTATAAATAAAATGTTATAAAGTTTTGAAAATATTTAAAATTTTCAACATATTTACCCACTGTGCCTAAACGAAATGGTGATTCTTCGTATGTGACGTCACATAATAGTACAACTAGGAAATATTTGGCTTGAACATTTGCTAAAAAAACAACAACAAAAAAAGCAGCAACAACAACATTACAGGTATAAAATCTATCGTAGCTACATATTACCACGAGCACGATTCAGTAATAAGGGATTCTTTTCAAATGAGTTCTTTGGCACAGACGACATTCGAGAGAGAGAGAGCGTGGCGCAAAGAACATGACATTTCCAATAGCACAAAATACAAATCCCAAAGGGGATAGAAGCCCCGTTGCGTTTAACTTTCACAAAAAACGGAATCAACCCTTGACAAAGTTGTGTTCATTTTTTTTTGTATGTTGAACTAAATTTAGGTAGGTTTTGTATTCTTTTACGGGGATGCAAATTCCCCCACTGCCAAACACCACCAGTTCAACCCCCTTTGGGTTACGCCACATAAAGTCCTGTTCTGGCAGATACATACCGGATTGCGCGCCGTCGAACAAGGTGTAATGTGTATCCATACATACGTTGGGAAAGAAATAAAAACAACAACAACACAAGCTGAGGATAAATGTACGAAAATATATGTATGTGTGTGTTTGTGTATTATACAAAAACAAGTTTTACTTACTTGTACCCACCCCCCTCGTGTCTTATACATGTCTCGTGCTCCGCTCATTTCATTATGTTGAAAGTAGACGTAGCTGTGTGTAGGCCTGTTTCGAGGAGTGTTAATTTGGACAAGACGCGTCATAATCACACATACACACACCAATACTCTTATTATAGCAACAAAAACAACAACAACAAAACGAAAACAGAACCAAGAAAAAACCCATAATCGATAGAAATACAAAAATGTAAACATACCACATTGTTCTTCTCATTGTTGGTATGCCTTGTGCCTTGACGCATGTGTATGTGCAGCTGTGTGTTTGTGTGTGCATGCGAGATCACACAAAACAGTAAAAAGTAAGGTTTTTTGACAGGGCGGGGAGGTTCCAAAAGAGAAATGCAAGAGAGTGAGCGATAATATAAAAGTGCATGAACGTTTTAATAGAAGTAATAAATTTCGTATTGTTGTGTTTTCTTGTTGTTGTTATTGTCGGGAGAACAATAATATAAAAGATACGTTGTATACACAAATTGAATACAACACGTTCATACATGCATACACAAGGAAAATATCTGAAAATGCTGTAATATTGAGTATTGCCGTGGTGATAATTTTCGACCAAAAATTTTAGGCGGGGAAAATGGGTCGGTTGTTGGTCTTATTTTACGAATTAGAAGAAATGGTCGAAAAGGGGGGAAATGTATTTTGACATTTCCGAAACAGCTTGTCTTAGTGAATGCTGTTGCTATCGAAATAAAAAATTGTTTAATGGAAAAGGAAAATATCTGAAAATGCTGTAATATTAAATATTGCCGTGGTGATCATTTTCGACCAAAAACTTAAGGGGGGAAAATTTGGTCTTTTTTTACGAATTATAAGAAATGGGCGAAAAGAGGGGAAAATATATATTCCCATTTAAGAAACAGCTGGTCTTAGTGAATACGGTTGCTCTCTAAATAACAATTTTTTTGGAATATTCAAAGCAAATGACAATTTAATTAAATATACCTAAGAATACGTTTACATGAAGACCAAAAATAAATTACTTATCAGGTTTTTGGTCGATTTTTCTTTTTGTTTATCTTAATTTTTTTTTTTTTTTGTATCAAATCATGC